ACATATGTCTCAAAGCTATATACAAAGAAGGAATCACCTTTGTAATGGGCATTCAGGTTACAGCTTTCTGGAAGAGGCTGCTTTTTAAAAAAAATCAGTGTATCTTAACGTTGCAACTATGGGACCCAAGATACTTTAAACAACTAATCAGTCTCACTTGGGAAGCACCATCCTACCCTCACCTTTCAGGTGTGTCTACAGAAAGCAAGAAAGCCACTACATGAACCTTGAGTGCATCGACTGGCTTGTGGGTCTCGCTTATCTTTGCAACCGTTTGACGTGTTCAGGCAGCCAAAACTGTTCTGGACAGAACGGCTACAGTATGTTTCTGTAGAGCGTACTACAGGTCCATGGCTGTCCAAGAGCTTTCTGAAGCATTTATCCCACAGTGCTCAGCACTGGGGACTAGGAGGCTTTAGGATAATTTTCTATATACAAGGCATGGCAGGAGGGCTGACTCAGCTGATTCATCTGCAACACAGGTGGCTTCTCATCTGCACTGGGAAGAAACCAGTGTAGATAGCACCAGTTAAATAGGATCTAAGCTAAAGAACTCATCCAAGGTGTTGCTATCAAAGCAATTTCTACAGAGGGAAAACGCATCCTGTTAGAAAATGTGTTAGCTGACATGTTTTAGCTAACACAACTGGGCACCCTGGTATAGACAAGGAAAAGTGATATTTAAAAAATGTGTTCGCTTGTTCATGGTTATCCTCTATAGCTAGCTAATATATTTTTTAAATATAACTGTCCTTTTCCACACTAAGGGCAAAATCTTGTTAACATCATGTTAATATGTTTTCAAACATTAAACATTTTCCCAGTGTAGATAAGGTCTAACTGATTACGGCCACATCTTTACATACAGTGCTGCAGTGCGTCTGGTGAAGATGCTCTGTTCTGACCTCCGCAAATGGCAGAAACTCTGTCGACGAGAGAAGCACAGCATGTTTGGAATGAGCTATATTCCAAAAATAATGAAAGCAAAAGATTGTAAGTTCTTTGGGCCTGGGGCTGTCACTTACCATATGTTTGTATCGTGCCTGGCACCACAGAGCCCCATCCTGGTAAGCCTTTGGGCACTACCACAATCTAAATATGTATTAATATTAAATAACTAAAGCTGGATTGTTAGCTAACTAATCTGACTTCTTTTTCCTCCAACACATCCACCTTTGGGAGCCTGTGAGCATTTTCAAATACTGTTATATGCATTTAGAGCTCTGGCTATTAAACGTAAAGTCGTAATTATAGGAGTTGTTTAAATCTAGAAGTAATAAATGCTGCAGGTTATAAATAAGAATGCCATCCTGTCAACACTGTTTGTTAATGGGGTATCTGTCAGACATGGCTCAGATTTTGTTCCGTAGGTTATTTTGTCTTCCTATTTCCCTTTATGAAATATGCCTCCAAAGTAATTTGTTATGGAATCCCAAATTTACAAAGGCTGTTTCCAATTTTTACTTGTAATAATAATAATAATAATTTCCAACTGATTTCAGTCT